AAGACCAAAAGTCAAGCTGAGTTTGCTCGAACTAAAGGTCGAGATAATTTAGCCCAGACCAAATGTTGAGATGAGTCAATCTAGGTCGAAGATCAAGACAAGTCAACTTGAGACAAAAGGTGAAGCTAAGTCAGCCTGAACCAAAGAATTGAATTGAGTTGGCCTGGGCCAAATAATAAAGTCGAGTAAACTCCAATTGAAGAATCAACTTGAGTGGGATATGGTCAAAGGTTAAGTTAAATCGACTAGAATAGAAGAATTGAGACGAGTCAGCCAAGATCGAAGGTCAGGCCAAAGATCCTGGACCAAAGGTCAAAACTAGTAGCCCAAATCGAAGAACTGAGCCAAGTTGGCCAAATGTGAAGGTTGAGATGACTCGGTGCAAACTAAAGAACCGAGACAATGTTGTGTATGTTCAATATACACACATATCCATATATCTCCACACTAGTAAGATATTGTCCACTTTGGGCTAAGCTCTCACGAATTTGCTTTTGGTACCACTCCAAAATGCCTCTTACTAAGGGATGTATCTTATGTGTATATAAACCCATGTGTATTTCATATTTTATCTGATGTGGGACTTTGTTTGTACCCAACATCCTCCCCTCAAACAAAGGGTTATGGTTCTTCTACCAAGCTCTGATACCAAACTTTGTGTATGTTCAATATACACTCATATCCATAGATCTCCACACTAGTAAGATATTGTCCGCTTTGGGCTAAGCCCTCACGGATTTGCTTTTGGTATCACTCCAAAAGACCTCTTACTAAGGGATGTATCTTATGTGTATATAAACTCATGTGTATTTCATATTTTATCCGATGTGAGACTTTGTTTGTACCCAACAAACAAGTCAACTCAAGACGAAGAACAAAGTTGAGTCGACCTAAAATGAAAAGTCGAGTTGACTTAGTTCAGATGAAGTAAATATGAGTGAGTTCACACAAAAGGTAGAGTTGAGCCAGCCTACACCAAAAGTCGAACGAGTCGATCCTGGGCAAAGGTTGAAATGAATGGCCTTGATTAGAGGTCTGTTTGCTGCAAACCAACGACAAGTTCACCGGTCGCAGCGTAGCAAGTGATAAATATCATTCTCTCCCAAGGGACTTGTGCAACACATGACAATTCTTCCTTTTATAACTCAATTAGACATCAAAGTGCACAAAATAACACAAGAAACTCTTTTGGGTATTTTATCAAACAGTTGGTATGCAAAAAATTTAACATAGTATATTTACAATTTGTCAAGACTAGAATTTATCCATTTCATTCTCATGCATTCACAAACATCTCAATTCCATCCAATAGGTTTTCAATTTCAGTTCTAGGTTCAATTCATATTTCTCAATACATCAAGAACCACAATTCATGCATGGGTGATCAATCCAAAGCAAGCATTAAGCATAGAAATTGAATACTAACATGAATTGGAAAAGCATATAGCATTAACATCACAAAATACATAAGAATTCCATGTTTTACAACTAATCTCAACAAATAGGAAAAGCCCTCCATGGTGGAGAACTTAGGGTTCTAAAAAATTGAAGAGATAGGGAAGAAATTGGAACCAAAGAGAAGATGCACAGCCTTTCCCAAGGTTCTTGGTAGCTGCTCCATGCTCCATTTGCGCCTCCCCTTCGCATCTCCATCTCCAATTTGTTACCCATCTTTTTCCTCAATCCAAAGGGGCAAAATCACCATTGATGAAGCTTGAAGACCCAAGGAGGAGTGGGAGAACTTCCCAACTCCCCAAATAGCCTCCAATGGCCTTTCCCAATCTCTCTAGGTGAAGAATGAAGTGTAGGAGGAGAAGAATGCCCAAAAAATTGTGAGACTCATGTTTAAATAACTCATTTTGACACATCAGCGTCACCACCGCTCAGCTGCACCCCAACTGCAGCATTCCAGAGAGCAGGGCACTCAGCTGCACCCCAGCGGCATAATTCTAATGACAGAGCGCTCAGCTGCACCCCAACTGCACCCTAGCGCTAGCAATCCAGAGACTGGTAGCTCAGGTGCACCTCAACTGCACCCCAGCTACAACATTCTAGAGACATATAGCTCAGTTGCCGCTCAGCTACAAGCAGTTTTGACAACATTATAAAATGCAAGTTCTTGTGCTATTCCAAATGCTTCCAACATGGGTATTTGCTTTAAATTGATCTTTTATTGTCCAAAAACATGTTCCCTTGAGTTCTTGCTTGTTTTCCTCCACTAGAATTGCTTCCTATTCATTTATTTCACACTCAAACAAAGAGATTAGAGGTAAAAACAAACATATACTAAATAAAACACAAGAAAGCTAGAAAACACACTAAACTTGAGGATAAAACAAGGTAAAAGCTATGAAGGAGTTGATTTATTCACAAAATATTCACACAAAGACACGTAAAATTAACCGTTATCAAGGTCGAGCCAAGTCTGTCCGGATCTGAGGTCGAGCCGAGGCTACCCGAATCGAAAATCAGGTCGAGCTAAAGGTAGAGTTAAACCAGCCTACACTAGTCGAGATAGGTTGATCTTGGAGAAAGGTCAAGATGAGTTGAGTCGACTCTAATCGAAGATCGAAATAAGTTGACTTTGATCGAAAGTTGAGATGAGTTAAACTCTATTGAAAATTAAGATGACTCATCTAGATCCAACATGAAGACAAATAGCCTAAATTAAAATTAAAATTCAATGAGTTATGTAAGATGAAAAACATGTCAGTTGAATTATATTCAAGACAATATAAAACAAAATTACTTAAATTTATGAAATATAAGACTAGAAGATAAATATAATGACTCGACAAGCTCACAATTAAAAAATAAAAAGTTCTATCCATTAAGAAAATAATGTTAAAAGAAGAAAGACATCTCAAAATCAAAGGGCTTAGAATATTTTACTATTGGATGTCACAATAAAATATAAAAAATCATCTAAAAAAAGTTAAGTTTTGTTACAAAATTTGAAAATTAAAAATATGTTACTTTCCTCTCTAACATGGAACCCAACGATGACAAGAGTTCGGAATATCTCTTTCATTAGCATGTCTAAGTGTGACATGTTTCATGCTTTGCTGTACACTTTTCATGCTCCACTTATTAGAGTACGTGTTTTTTTGGTTGAAATTCATATACTTTTTTACCTCAATTGACAATGCTTTAATTTTTTACAATTTAAAGTCCTAAATTATAATTAAAGTTCAAAGAAACATATTCTAGGATTTAAAATAAAGAAATTCTATACTACAACTAGTAATAGTTTTGCATGAGATATTTTTATTCCTTCACTCAGCATGTTTCCTTCTTAAAAAGAATTCGAACTTAAATTTTGGAAAAACCTAAAGAAGAAAAATCTATTTAGTCTAGGATCAAATATGAATGTATCTTTTCCCCAAATTTTATAAAGAAAGCTTCAAACAAAATTATTTCATTTGCAAATATTAAAATTTTATAACTTCCTTTCAAATTTACTTAAAATAGAAACTATCACATGGTCTAAACAAGAATATTTTAAAAGATATTTTAAAAAAAATTAGAAAAATTTATGTTTAAGGTGTTTATGTTTATGTTATGCTTATGCTCATCATGTTAATTTAGAGAAAAATAGTTTTTAGTAATCTTGAAATGTTTTAGTTGTGTTAAACTTAGTAATGTATTCTTCTTATACCATTTTTGAGATAAGTTTTCACTTTAATGGTTTAGTCATATTATTTTATTTACTATATATTAAATGTATCTAATATCCTAAAAACTTAGTCATTTTAGTATCTAAACTTTCATAATTCGTGTTATCTTCCATCATGTTAACAATAGTACAAAAATAGAAAATAATAATAAGTTTTATTATAATGGGTGCAGTCCACCTATCATAAAAAGTGGTAAAATGATATTTTGGTAATAAATGTGAAATTTGTTATGTAAGTTCAAAATAAAATTGACATAATAAGTATATATTATTTCTTATCAGTGTATCTTAGAATTACGTAGCGAAATAATTGTGTTTGGAGAAAACTAACAGAGATAAATTGGTTCCTTTAATAAAATTGTAAGAATTTTTCCTTTTTATACAATTACTTTGCAATTTTATATATATATATATATATATATATATACGCAAACAAAATCATGTGTTATTTAAAAAAAAAAATATATACTATATCAATATTATAGAACAAATTTAAGGAAGATGTGATAATTGAAAAAGAACATATATATTCAATTTTTAATTATGTAGATGTAGAAAGTGTTGATATGTATAGTAATGATTAATGAGTGCGTGTGGAAGGGCAGATATTTCAAATGAGGAAGAAAGAGAATAATACAACGGTTAAGATATCCCATCATGCATGTGTGTGCTTGCTGCTTTGCCGAAGGGTTATGCAAAGAAAAACTTTTTGTCTGTAGCATTTGAACTAATTAATTGAGTGAAGGCTTTAGTTTCCGAAAAATGAAGGTAGAGAAGAAGCAAAGCTACATTAAATGAAGAATGGAAAATAGGAAAGCAAACATTCTTGTGATGTGAGATCATAATTTATGATTGAGGGACCCTTGCTTGTCGTTGCATTATCTGCCACAACAATAATTTCTGTGCCCTTTCACATGTATAATCTTCCAATCACAAATGTTAACATAAATCTAACCATTTAGTCACTTATGTCTTTCTATGTCTATCTATCACAATACACTTAGTATGCATCTAAACGACTACGTTAATAATCTCAATCGCCTCAATTAAATCACACCTTCTTCTATGATATAACTCAAAACGTCAATTAACTTTTCTGACCAACTCTGATTTAAGTTTAGTTGATAATAAGTTAAATGGATATAACATGTGAATTAAAAATAATAAAAGTTACTATAATGTAACGAAAAGGATATGTACGATGTGGAACTTGGGTAATTACTTGAAAAAACAAAAGCATCCATTCCTTTCTTAAATGGAAAGATATGGACAGTGGTTAGATTCAAAGACCACTTGGGAAGTAACTGGAATAATGAAATAACCGATATGTTGTTTGAATTTCGAAATTCGTTTTGCTAGGTCATGGCATCACTACCCCAAATGTCTGTCACATTAGGAACTTGCATAAGCTCAAAAATTAAGATGAGTGACGGACGACTATACATTGCTCAAATAAACAACATGAAGAAGAGTAATTGTTTGAAGGCTGCGTTGTTTCCATTGACATTGGTGGGAGAAAAGAGGCCCAAAATAGGGTTACGGAAACAGCCAAGTGAAAAATGGAAAGTCGGGGTAGGGGAAAGTGGTGAGTTGGTGCCACGTTCAGTTATAGAGAGCGCTGTCAAAGATTTCCACCGTGCCTTCAATGATAAAAACATGGAGGAAATGCAGGAATTGATTTCGGATGATTGTGAGTACCAGGACTACCTCTTCTACAGTCCCTACAAAGGCCAGGTTAGTTTCAACATTTTCTCTTCCGATAATGTGCATTTCATGCTGTCATGTATTTGGTGAATTACTTCCTGCATTGCTTTTCATTTAGGAGAATGTGATGAAGTTCTTGGAGAGCGTTATGGAAGCGATGGGTCCAAATATAAAAATTGCTGTGCGAGATATCAATGTGGAAGATGTCCATGTTACCAAAGAGGCCAAACTCATGGCTACGGTCTTTTGGCACTTGGGTATCTCACTTCTTTTCCTTCTTTTTCTTCTTTCACTCCTACAATTTTTAGCTACATCCCCATAATTTTTAAAATATTTTTCGTCAAATCTGTTTTAAAATAAGTTTTCTGACATTTTTATCTTAGGATTTTTAGAACAAGTTGTATGTGATATTCTTGGAAATTAGTTTTCTGAAATAAGTTTTACAGAATACATATGAAATTATCCTCTTCTGCTGCTGCTGCAACAGTGGTGATGTAATGTGGTGAGAGAACACATTTTAATCTTTTAATTATTAGTATGGGGTGTATTTAGTAATAATGGACTTACTTCTTTAACTTTCAATCAACATCTCTAACAATATCCAAAATTACTTTGGGTTTGTGTGGCCCAACATGTTCGTCATAAACAGCGGGTGGGCTAAATCCAGACTCAGTTTTCCTACAAATGATTTACCATTTTGAAATTGGTAATGTACATTGTAAAACTGAGATTAACTTTTTTACAGAGTGGGGAAAGGAGAAAAAGAAGCTACCCTTCTCAAAAGGATGCAGATTCTTTTGGTTTAAAGAAGTTGAAGGAAGATTGGTTATTAGGTAAATCCTGATATTTGTTCTCTGTATTTCATTTTTCTTATAAAAGGCATGTATAATTGAGTGTAGCTATTTGCAGCAAGATAACAGGCTTGGAGGAACTTCCAATTAAACCGGGTGAACTAGTACTGGTATCTTCCTCATTCGATATTTCATTTCTTTTAACACAAGTATTGCTTTTATATTATATTTATATTTATTTCAATTACTTTAGTTAATATGTTTTCAACATATAGTTAAAGAATTTTTAAACTTAAATTATTATTTTTAGAAGAAAGTCATGATATTCACTGAGTAATAGCATAATTCAATCAAATTTTTATGATTTTCATTAGAGCTTCTCATTTTTTTTCCCCTTTTCTGTACTTACTTTCATTTGTTAGAGTTTATAAAAAAAAAATTATGTTGTGACAATACGAGCATTATTTAGATTTTGTATGTCGGTCTATTTTAATACAATGATGATTTTGATTTTAATTTTCTAATAATTTTTAAAAATGAAAAAATTATCTGTGTGATGAAAAAGATGAATCAATTAACTTGGAGTTCTAATATCTGCAGAATGCCTTAAAGGCAATTAGTACTTTTTTGGACAGCTATCCACCCATGGCTTCAGGTACATATATCCATGCCTTTCTTAATTATTTCTTCTATTTTCTATTTATCGCATTTATTATTATTAAAAATATTACTGAATAAATTTTAGGCATCATCCTTTATTTCCAATTTATATTGGCAATAAATACTTTATATTTAATACCGTAAGAAGTTGGTATGGTATATGGTATTATTCTAACAAAACACGATTTCAATTTGGTGCGTGACAGCGTTGCTTAACTATCCTGCCTTTCAAGATGATTGATGGCACACATGATTGGGTCGGTGAAGTCCATCACATGCTTTTAACACTTCAAATCTCCTCCTATTTATGAATCTACAATATTTATTTTTAAAATTTGTATTTTTTTAATTTATTTTTGGTATTGTGTATTTATTGTATCTTTAAAATATATTCTTAAATATTAATTTCAATATTTTAAAATATATTAAAAGTATTTTTAATATATTAAAATCAATTATTTTAAAGATACAATTAAAACGACAGCAGTAATTCTAAACTCGTGTTCTTATTAAATAAAGTGCAATTTGCCTGGATTAGGAAAACAAATGTTAAAATTTTAAGAAAAAATAAATTATTATATTTGTGTGTTTGATTTTCTAATCAACACCTATAATTATTCATTTTTACTCCTACGAACCATCTCTCACTTCAGATAAATGAAATTCAAAGATTTGTTTGAGAATTCTTGAACACCCTCCACATAAATGGATGTGTCGTGTTTTTTAAAAATTGTAGAAATTTGTTCAAGCATGAATATTTTAATATCCAACTGGCCGTATACGGTAGTTAAAAACTTAATAAATGAAAAGAGTTAAAATACATAAATTCATATAAATTTATAATTTAATGTCATACGCTTGTATATGCTAAATTCCATCTGTAGTTAAAATATTGTATACTCTTTTATAAGTGAAGAAATAATACGTACAAGGATTACATATACCATCAAGTAAGAAAGAAAAACAAATATATACAGAATATAAATATTAGACAATGATTCTAAAGAAAAACATAATCAGAAAAAGGAAGAAACATTAATATTTGTATTGTCATTAATTGAATAAACTTCTCGTGGTGAAAACCTAAAGCAGTGTGTTCGAAAACTATATTGAACTAGACGACACTTGATAGCAACAAGTCCCTGTATACATCATTTTCCTAGTAGTATGTCGTTAAAATAGCATGTTTTTTATTCCTACTCTCCCAAACTCTTTCGACTTACAAATATTTTTCCATCACTATGAATCATTCTTCCTACTTTCTTGTCCTTTACCTACAAAAGCACTATGCATTTAAATCAATTTTCTTTCAACCTTTTTAGAAATTCTGAAGAAGGACATTAGAATCTACAATTGATTTTCGCCCCTATTCCTTTCTCTCATTAGTTTCAACTGGAATCATTAAGAACACAAAAGGGATAGCAATTTAATATCTCAGTAAAAATAATTTTTACTTCCAGTTTCTTTCATTCTAAAAGTCTCATACTTATTTGTGATAAGAATTATAATATATTAACACAACAGATTATGTGTTAATGTTTTATTAGTTCGTATATTTGAAACAGACCAATCACAAACTATCATATAGACTATTATAAAAAAAGTTGTCAAAAATAATTTTTACTTCCCTTTCTTTCCATTCTAAAAGTTTCATCTCTATTTGTGAAAAGGATTATGATATATTAATAACTTTTCTTAACAACTTTTTGACAATAGACTATGTGTCACTATTTTATTGGTTCGTATATTTGAAACAGACAAATCACGAGCTACCATATAAACTATTGTAAAAAAGTTATCAAAAAAAGTTGTTAAAAACTTTGTTATAATTCACTTTTAGTCTTGTACTAATTCATAACATCTTAACAATATTGTAGTGGAAAAATATTTTTTTAACATTTTTCTTACAACTTTTCTACAACATCCATTGATCTGTTTCAAATATTCTTTTGAAAATAAATTTAAACATACCAATAAAATAATAACATGTAATTTATTATAAAAAAATTGTTAGAAAAAGTTGTTAATATATCATAATCCATTATAGTATACCAATTTCCATTTTTAGTGCTTCCCCCACCTTGTAATAACATTTAAATTTGAAATAACAAATGTAGATATTTTTTTCACAATAGGTGGTCTACATCTGCAAAACAAGAAATATAGCGAGCACATAATTGATATTAAAGTGTAAGGTGATTCCATCTGTAAATTTGCCTATAGAAGAGAGAGAACGATGGAAGGAAGCAAGCTAAGTTGGAATATGGGTGGTACTCTTTTCCCTATTGTCTTTACTTTATTACATGCATATGGACTATAACTAATTCATTAATTATATCCCATCATCACCATCCAATTTATATACGCCTCCAAAATGATAGCTAGAAGCTACTCGTGCACCACGACTACATTTGTCCTAACCTAAAATAATGAAATCGTTCAGGCCTCACTCAAATCAAAATCTAAGACATTTGATATTCTTTGAGGAATGCATAAGTTTCTCGTGTTTGAATAAGCTCTTTTAGATGTCAATAACAAGATACAAAATCCATCATCTTAGACTTTTCAGATAANGCTGCAAAACAAGAAATATAGCGAGCACATAATTGATATTAAAGTGTAAGGTGATTCCATCTGTAAATTTGCCTATAGAAGAGAGAGAACGATGGAAGGAAGCAAGCTAAGTTGGAATATGGGTGGTACTCTTTTCCCTATTGTCTTTACTTTATTACATGCATATGGACTATAACTAATTCATTAATTCTATCCCATCATCACCATCCAATTTATATACGCGTCCAAAATGATAGCTAGAAGCTACTCGTGTACCACGACTACATTTGTCCTAACCTAAAATAATGAAATCGTTCAGGCCTCACTCAAATCAAAATCTAAGACATTTGATATTCTTTGAGGAATGTATAAGTTTCTCGTGTTTGAATAAGCTCTTTTAGATGTGAATAACAAGATACAAAATCCATCATCTTAGACTTTTCAGATAACAACTTGGACCACAATTTTTTTTAAGTATTATATATATGTCGGGATTAGCATCTAATTAAGTTAGAATAATTTCAAACAATTCATTCCTACGTTCCACAATAAAAAATGTTCACTTTAAAATATAGAAAATAAACTATCAAATCTTAAATTTCACTTTAACTTAAAAAAAATTCATTAATAAGGTAAAGAAGTTCAAAAAAGATAGTGCACTGTGTTTTTATTGAACTGTGTCCGCATTTATAAATAGCTATGTACATAGGGTTTGGACCTAGTATAAAGAATGAAAACTGAAATACTGCTGAGTATATATATTATCTCTTTGGCTGATCTCTATCTTATATCTAAACGAAATAAATGGAAAAACAAAATAACAAATAAAAATGAAGTCATGACTTATGTGACAGTACAATACGAAAATAAAGGTTCAAATCAAAATTACATAAACATCCATAACTTCAGTTTATTCAACAAATTTTTTTCATAAATTTAAATTCTTCTTCCTTTATCGTTGCACCCCCATTTTTCATATACATTATCTCATATTAGACTTGCTTCTACGTCTATACACGTAGGTTCTTCATTTTCTTATGGTGGACTTCTTCATTGTTTTGATCAATTTCTCAATTACTTTTGTCGAATTATTTTTATCATGGACCTTTTTTGATCTTAACTAACTTGTTTTTAGCATTTACTTTTTTGTTTTTTTCTCTGATCCTCTTTCCAATAACCTTGTTATCGTCACGGTCTACTGTAATGTAAACTATTTTATAATTTTCTTCGTGACTATCCTCACATTTTGTTTCCATGCACACTGTCGGCCTCTCTTCTAGGGATGACAAAAATACTTGTACCTGCAGATATCCGTAGATAAAATTCACGATGGCTAGTTGGTACCAACAAATATTTATTATTCGCGGGTAGCGGGTATTTTAATATTTGGTTATAAACGAGTTGGGTACAGATATTATACTACTCGTACCCATGAGTATCCGCTACCTGCAAAAACAATTAATTTATATTTTGTTAAGTTTAATTAAAATTAAATTAATTTATATTTTATCAGGTTAAATTTAATTAAACTTAAATTTTAATTTATATTTAATTTAATTTATATTATATTTTATATATTCTTTTATAATTTTATTAAATTTTATTTTTAAAATTTAGAAAATATTTTTTTTAAATATTTGCAAGTATTCACAGGTACCCGCGTGTTTTAAAATACCCGTAAATATTTTTTAAACGGGTATCCGCATGGGTAGCGGGTGGGTTGCGGGTAAATTTTTTTATTGTTGGTCGGGTAGCAAATAAGCATTATCTGTGTCCGACCCAACCTGTTGTCATTCCTACTCTCCTCGCTACTTGTGTGTGTAGCTTATCTCTCTTTTTTACTCGATAAAGCTTGAGGAGTTCTCTTTATGTACAGTTTCTAGTCTTCTCGTTATCAAACAATTAGGACGCAACTTGGTTTCCAAACTCTAACTCGGCAAGTCGGCTTCCGAGCTCCTTAACATCAACAAAACTATTTCTTTTTCATCTTCCTTTACAAGGAGATTCTTCTCTTTTTTCTTCTCAATCCACAAAACTTTGCAATGCAGTCAGTCTTACCACAATTATAACACTTCGTCAATCTACACTCATTTTCGTAGTGGTCGTGCTTGCCACACTTAAAACACTCCACTCCTAACTCACCTTTTCGATCTTTTCCTTGTCCTCAACACACAATTTATGTTAACAAGTTTTCTCTTCGCTGTTATTCTCAAAATCACATCTGTCACGTTGTTCAAGACCTCAACCCTGAGTTGTTTGGAGTATCTTCCTTCTCGTTTTGACGTGCTTGAAGTACTTGATTAAGTGAGTCATAATTCTTCTTTCTTCGTTGTTGGTTCTTGGTACGCATTCTTTGGGCAATCTAGGCAACCATATGCTCATGATTTTTTATACTCGTTCTCTACTACATCTGATATGTGAGATCCAAAGAGAGTCCTCAACTGCAAACTCTATCATCATTTGCCTTCTTCGTCAATTGTGGTAGAGACATATCATTCACAAGATTTGATATCTCACTCATTGTTTCACTCACACTATTTCACTCTCTTTCTTTTTCTCACTCGACAGTCAGAATATCATTTTGTAAAACTAAACACAACACACACTAATTCATTGTGTTTTTATATTGAACTGAGACAACCTTTAAACAGTGGTACACATAGGGCTTGGACCATATACAAAGAATGAAAATTGAAATACAATATGTCAACTGCCAAATATATTATTTCTAACCGATCTCTATCTTATATCTAAACCAAAAAATAAAAAAATAAACTAACGAATAAAAACGAAAGCTGCGACATATGCGGCATCACAATACAAAAATAAAAGTTCAAATGAAATTAAAGAAACATCCCTAATTCAACAAGGAAGAAGCTCACTTCACCCTCCCCTCTTTCTCTCTATATTATATATATCATGCCTCGGAACCCACACTTATCATTTTTTTTATTAAGTCAAATACTGTTGTATAAAAACTTAGCGTAAGTATGCGAAGTTGTAGAAATAACCAAAGTCATATTAACTCGTGAGATATTATTCAGAACCAACAATTGCATAGAAGAAAAAGTGAGACATTAATGAACCCCATATCCATTTGTTGGTGGATGGAAGAGGAGATAGTTACAAAGTCTGATTGACAAAAGGGACACCAAGACTGAAAACAATCGCTTGAAAGGAAGATGAAGGGTTCTGAAAGAAATAAGGATGTTTGTGACCGTTATGTTTGTGTGTGTGTCTCCTACTCCAGTATTAGAGTTCTTCCTCATCATTGGGAAAATGTCCATATACGAAACACTCCTACACGACTATTATAGGGATCTTTCTCGTCATAACATGCATAAACCTTTGTCATCGAAAAATCGACTAAATCAGGTTCCACCCATCTAGAAACGACTAAAATTGTTGTCGTTCGTCTAAAAACAATTAAAACATAGCTTTTACTCATTAATTAACATCAATAATTCACAATTCTTAAATATGATAAACATACTTTTTATATTTGTAAGAATTAATATATTGTGGTGTTGAATACATATTAGATTTGTCACTCATTTCGAGACCAAAGTTGTAATTCTATCTTATTTCATAGGGTTGAGCTGTAACTAAAATTTTGACTGAAATCAACGGCTACAAGAATTAACGTACGATATGGAGAGTCAAGAGATTGCATAGAAAATTCGACTTTATAGTATCTATATCATTAGTATGTATATATTCCAAAAGGTACAGATCCGAGGGTATATGTAGCTTTCTCAACATCATTTCTACGACCCGAAATACAACTTTATTCTACATCCACTAAACACAAACAATTTCTATAAGATTCTACCTTTTTATAATTACCTTTATCAATATAGGAACACATGTGAGGTACGCAGCGTAATTAATTAACTGTGTCTGCTTCTTCTCTTCTTTTCAAATAATAAGAAGAAGATCAGATCTTATGAAGTTCATGTAAAATCATCAGATCGAATTATCAAGGAGTTGATGAGAACACTTCCATGGCTGAAAGATCAAAGGAGCTCCAAGTGCTCCAGCAAGTGTCACTCATTGAATGCAGGGTAGACGCAGAAGTGATGGGCAATAATTGGGCATCGTTTTCATTCAACGGCATCGAGTATTCCAATTCCTGCAACTGCATTTCCTTCACGGGTGCTTCCCAAGTAACGGAAGAGGACAAGGTAGCATCACACCAAAGACCATCTTCATCACCACTCACACCCAGAAGCTTCTCCAACTCGTCAATCTCACCCAAACTCAATTCCTCCCTACCGAAATTCTCAATTGCCACTACTGCATCGGAGTCAACAATGACAGGATCCGACGACAAACCCTTGTTCGGCGACTGAACAACAGCGATATCATTCTCCGTTTGAACGCCGGGCGGTGTGAAGTAATTGTTGGAAGAAGAGGAGGCATTGTTATCCTCTCCAACGTTTTGTTTCGGGTTCAAGAATTTGGCGAACACAAGGGCCATGTCTATTTCACGAGAGCCGTTGTTGTTTCGATGGGCATCTTCAGGTGAAGACTCGGTGTCATCAGAAGAAGCGGAGACGAAAGAGCGTTGGGTTTGGTTGTGGCGCGAGGAGGACTTGCCGCGGCGGTTCTTTCGGCAGCCGCCGCCGACGGGGACGTTGCGGAGAGAGCCGCCTTTGGTCCAGTAGCGTCTGCAGGCTTTGCAGAAATAGCGGGGCTGCGACAAGCTGTAGTTATTGTAGTAACAAAATTTGGTGTTGGTGGAAGCGCAACGAGGGCAATTGGGCGCGACCTCAATGTTGGGTTTCCACCTCGAACGTTGTTCCATTGGGGTTGGAAAGTGATGATGATGTTGCAACATGTGTTGAAGGGCAGCGGCAGTAATAAGGGTATGTGGGAACATTTATTTGGGAGAGGTGTGATATAAGAAGGGTGGGTGGGGATGGAGTGAGAGTGAGATTGGAGAGGGATTTGTTGGTGTGTGAATATATGTGTGGTGGAAGCGTTGGAGGAACGTGGGCGGTTGGGGAATCGTTAAAATTAAGGAAGGGTGTGCATGTGTATGTGTATGTGTGTGTGTGAGTCTGTGATGTTGATGTGAATTTCATGTTATGCTGTGCTGTTTCATAGGCGGATGGGGCGTGTCTCCTTCGACACTGGATTTTTCTTCATTGGGGTTACTTTGTGAGAGTGATTGAGGTTGATAAGTCAAACACTTGCTTCCCCACTCATTCTTTAACAAGCCGCGTGGAAAAAAATCATCCATCATATGCATGCTACCTCCATCTTCATCACATCAAATCATATATATCATTCATTCAAACCCACCTTAAAACCATGAATTGACCGAGACTAGTTTGTGAATTAGAGACGTTTATGTGTTTAAGGAAAGTTCAATATTGATTTGATGAGTTATTGCTAATTGATCATGTAGTTGGTGCCACAGGCACGGTTAAATTCAGGTAGTTCTGCATTACCCAATAGATATAATAATTATTAATGTGTGAAACAATGCAGTGTGCTGGATGCAGAGGAGGGAATTAAGGTTTATAGAATAAGTTTGACATATATGTATACTATATACAGTAATGTATTGACATCATATGGAAGGCTAGAGTTGCGGGTATGGAAAGCACCACCACGTGCTTAACGAGGATACGTGGCACATTTCCCATCCTTTCGTTTCCTATTGCTAAAACTAAATCCCCACATCACCGTACATTTTTTTGCGTTCTTCTTTTCTTTATTTCACCGCTAAAGGGAAAGACACAAATATCAATTACATATAACCTCAATCATGGATTGATAACTAAAACATCACTTTTTATCCAAAATTTTAAAACAATACGATAACGGATCTTTCATTTTTTATATAATAATTTATTTTTATTTTTATCTAACATAAAACTTAGACTCATGCTTTGATTTCTGTGCTCACTTCATTCAATTCCATACTTTCAAATTTTAGTTAACACATTTTCACAACCTCACCTTCCAAGGATTCAACCCAATCAAACTAAATACATTAATCTTATAAACTAAACTAAACAAATGACAATGATTTTTGTAAAATACACCACTCCTGAATTTTGTTCTGATTATCATAACTATGGATATTATCCATATATACGATTGATAGGAATTTTCCTAAAATAAAAAACCTGGTACTCTGAAACCGAGTCCAAGTGAAGTTGGAGTGGAGAAGTTTGTAATAATGGTTGATGGGTAGGGATACATGCATATTGCGGTGGTATGTGGGATTAAAATACGAATTGATGTTACATGAAAGGAACAGAAAGAGAGAACGGTGCAGCTAAAGGTTGCAATCGTAGGATTGGAGATTCGATCCAAAGAGAACATTCGAGGCACGTGGGGGTTTAACGTTGCTTTCACGAAAGATGCTATCATACGTATTCATGCTTCCGGATCAGTGGCTTCCACGTCTCAAACTCCTTCTGCTATTTCTTTTCTTTTGCATGTTTCTCTAAACTTTTATTATCATTAGTTCATTAAATCTAGCATGGTTAACGATCTTCCAACTAATCAAATTGCAGTTAGTTCCTACGTACTTCACTCCCTCTAACATTAACATACGTATCTTTCAACTAACAATGCATCTATAAGGAATGCGTGCATGCATCAACAAAATAATTATATAATACACAGCACATGTGCTTGGACCTTCATGAATATTGAATTTCAGAAATCAGAAGTATAAATAAAGCCACCATGATGATGGACTAGACCGATAATAAGTCCCAATGACCTATTCATGCTCCAGAACACCTTGTGCTCCTATCTGTACCAAAACTATAGTGTTTCATCTTTTAAGTTAAAATTTTATTTATTTAAATTTAAAATAATTTAAATCATGTATTATCACATGGGCTATATAAGTATTTTGTAATATATATTTATCTCAAATTTAGTTCTCTAAATTTTAAAATGTTCAAGAAATACTATCTTACTTAAATTTGAAAAGAAAAAGCATTTTCCTCCTTCGGTAATGGCTCTGTATATTAACTCCTCCGAAATTTTGTTCTGCGTGAGTGATTACTTGGCTTTTTCGTTCTGCTGCTGCCATATTAATATAAAATATCTATCAGTTTTCTCATACATTTAAAATTGACCTTTTAAAATTTCATTTGCAAGATTAATATGGTAGGAAAGTATAATTTGAACATGAAATAAAGAATCATTTTTAAGGTGTTATAAAATAGTAGTATAAATTATTTTTCCAATTTGAACAGAGGAGAACACCACCTGCTGAAATTGCGTCTTAGTTTATATTGAAAAATATATGATTATGATCCACTACTGTCCTAATCATTACCTGTTACATCATATGATATAACTTTTTCTAAAAAAATAATCATGTAATACCAATCTTACTTGTAACATTTTCTTATTTTTTGGGTTTATTTATATATATATATATATATATATATATATATATATATATATATATAATACATAATTCGATATACATTCCAATCATTTTCTTTGCTTTGGTACTGGATTGAAACCAATATAATAATATGAATTTAAAATTATTACATGGGATTCGTTTTGTTGTTTTATCAAAGTAGGCTATTCAACCACTTTTTCGCTTCTTGTGGGCCAACTTATTCCAATGTTATACGAAGAAGGTTATCTACAACTGATTCTCATAAAGCAAGAAAGCATCTAAAAGAAGAGATTATATATATATATAATATATATATATATATAAAAGAGTATCATTTAAATAAGAAATATAATTATCTATAATATAATTATAGAATTTTTAATAACTTAATTACAAGAATTTGATTAATTTAATTATAATATCAATTGTTAATAGATTTAATTTTAGAATAATAATTTGGATTCTATCATAGTTTTTTCGTTTGAACGAAATGTTTATAGATGCTTAGATTGGTTTAAAAATCATAAAAAAAATTAAGGTTGACCTTTAGTGAAGATATCAATTATCTGATCTAGTGGTGAGAAGGAAAATAAAGAATTCATGTCTAACCACACACTCTCTTTTTTCAAATAAAGTGAATATTTATCTTAATATGTTTTGTGTGTTGATGTTGCATTGGATTACTAGATAGATAAATGATACTAACATTATCAGCGTATAGCAAAGTAGCCTAAGAAAGAGAAAAATGAAGCCCTAGTAGGAGATTGTAGAGCCAATAAGATTCAGCAACAAAATTTACAACTTCAGCATTTGCACTAAAACGAGAAAGAGTATATTGACGCTTTGAAAACCAGCATATGAGGTTGTGATCAAGAAACACACAGTAAAGAGTGTTTGGTGTTAGGACATCCATCCCAATCAACATTAGTGTAAGAATTAAGTTTCTAAATAAAGTTTGCATAAAGGTACAAACCATACTCTAAGGTATCCTGAACATACAATAGAATGTGTTTTAGTTGTAGCATATGCTTGGTGCAGAGAAGGCATGCATGTGAAGACAAACATGTTAAACAACATATGAAATGTCAGAACGAGTGAATGTGAGATATTGTAGGGAGCAGAAAAAAGACTCTGGTACGTAATAAGATCCTTATACGGTGTGTCGGAGGATGTATTGAGCTTCTGCTTAGTATCAACCGAAGTACTAGAAGGATTGCAAGAGGTCATGCCAGTACGTGTAATGATGACACTAGCATATGTGCTATGCATGAGGAACATGTCACCTACATGTCTTGTCACAATAATCCCAAGAAAATAACTCAAAGGAACAAGATCATTCATAGCAAATTTAGAGCTAAGGAGTGTGATGCTAGATTTATGAAGATATGGGATGAGGTGATGAGAATGTCATCAACATAGAGGAACATGTATATGTCATGTCATAACCATGCCATTAGATGAAGAGAAAGTAATTTGAAGTACTATTTAAATCAAATGATAGAAATGTAATAAAAAAAAGCATTGATACTAGGCAGAAGGCGTTTACTTCAAACCATAAAAAGATTTCCTCGAGCGACAAACATGATCAAGGCGAAGGGGATCATGGAAACCGAACGGTTGATGAATGTATATAGTCTCATGTAGATCACCATGGAGAAAGGCATTTAAAGATCCAAAGGATGTATGAGCTAGGATGGAGAGGACAATGGTGAGAATCATACGAATGGTTGCGAGTTTCACCATAGGATTGAATGTCTCATCACAATCCACATCTACAATTCGAGACTTGCCATCACCTACAAGACGAGCTTTGTAACACTAAAAAAGCCATTAGATTTCTTTTTATGTCTGAAAATCTACATACAGTGAATGATATTAACATTACAAGGTCACAAAACCAAATCCCACATATTAATTTTAATTAGAGCATCAAATTAAGACTACATGATAAATTTTTAATTAGGATCTAATAAAGCAAGGGTTGAATTTTTGGGAAGAGGTGTTATCATCGAATTAATATTGGAAACAAAAAGGGTAAAAAGTTTTATGAGTTTGTAGACATCGGTCATGCTATAAATGGTCATGGTCTAGTAGGAGGGGCAGGGTTGAGATAGAGGGTTAGGGTTTAAGGGTAGGGTTTAAAGGTAGGGCACGTGGTTGAAAGTTAGAAGAGGTAAATAGGTTGGTCGTGAAGGTTGATACGTTGGATGAAATTAAGGGTATCTTGCAGGTTGTGGTTTAGGCAAAGGCTTTAGGTCGGGGTTGGGCCAAGGATGAATATGTTTGGACAATAATTGATCATTTTGGAGTAAATACACGCATTGAGCAACACCAAAATCGTGCCTAGTACTGTCAGAGTCATAGAGCAACCAATGCTTCAGAGGATCCTAGTGTTGAGCGACAACAAAATGGTATTGAGCGTACACCTGGTCCTACAACGATGACACTAAACAATGGTTTGACATATAGCCCCTTTCACGTTTTAACTGATATGGCGTTGTGCGGTGTTGATATGGCACTAAACTGGCAATGTTGACTTGTCAAAATGGGGTATTTAAACCTGTTTCTCGCGAGCTTTTGGAGAATCCTCTTCTTCCACACTTCACTCTCGACCAAGGGCGACTAAGAGAGGCCATTTGAGGTTGTTAAAGGTGTTGGGAAGCTCTCTCCTCACCTCCTTGTGCATACAACTTAGAAAATCTTTAAACACAAATACATTAATATCCCATGGTGTTTTTTTCTC